TTTGAATATACCTTTGAGAAATAAAACAGAGATTTTGTTCTTTCTCTCTGTTGATGTCACATATATGCAAAAATACATTACATAATTTAAATAATAAAGTTTGGAATCGTAAAAATTACCCAATATTTTTACACTTTTTTCTTTTTTGCCATGGATTGTTCCCAAGCCATGACTGACCTTCCTAAGCTCTGCTTTGCCACCTAGTGGAGGAAGGAGCTTTGTTCCACCACTGTCCCTTCTCTCTCCCTCCTTTAACTCCCTTCTGTTCAGCTAATTTTTTTCTCTTCCTTTTTTAACTATTCATATTTATTTTTTTCCTTCTACCTTTTCCTCTCTTCCTTTATTTTTAAAAAAGAAATGAAATTCTCCTTAATGAGAGCAGTCACATTTCATTAATTTTTGTTTCTCTGCTCCTTAGTCAGTGCCTCACACTTAACCGTTAGTCAGAAAATACTTGTTTTTATTGAAATATATAACATTAAGACAAAATATTTTACCCAAGGTCAAATAGTTGGTCAGGTACTAAAATGTGAATTCTAAAACATTCTGGCTGTGCATTTCTACTAAAAGTGTTTTTTCACCTTGTGATCTAATGAGCTGTGGAATTGCAGTCACCACTACTTACAGTCTCTCTTGACTTCCTGATTGCCCTTCAGACCACCACCACCTACCATGAAAGATGCTGAGGATTTAGATTTCACTCATGTAACAAACCAGCACAGTTCTACACGTCATTTTTCAAAATCAGAGTCCTCTCATAAAGGTAAGAAAAATATATTCAGTCAAGTTTAGAATTTTATAATCTCTTAAATTCTAATGGGAAAATTTAATACTGTTCTGTAGATCACTGGAATGGAAAAGTAAGTTATTTTCCGCTTGGTAAATCAGTATGATAGTGTTCATTTATTAAAAACAAAAAAAAAGGACTTCCTTGGTGGTCTAAGGGTTAAGTCTCAGCTCATCAACTGCTGAGTTTGATTCCCAGATAGAGAGCTAACTCACATATGGCACAACAGAGCTCTCCTGCCTCACGGCTGCTCCCTCAGCAGTGCATTTCACCTATTCTGTTCCCCACTCTATCTCTGAGAAGTGTTCCACTCCCCTTACTTCTGACCTGCACCTTTTGTGTAGTTTTTCTACACAAAAATAAAAATTAAAAAATAAAAGCCATTGAAAAGATAGAACAAGGCACCTGAACTGAATTCATGCTGCTCTTTATTTTTGTGTTTTCTTCCAGAGAAAATTCATAGTTTATACTATATCCTCAGAGGATAGCTGTGTCCCTATTTTTAATCTTATGGACTTCTCCTGCAGTGGCTCTTGTTTCCCATGTATCTATGACTATTAATTAGACTTTAAATATACATATATACACACCACACACAATTTTATGTAGAAGAAAAGGGACCAAAATAAAAAGAGACCTAAATTGGAGCAAACCTTTAAAATTCATAGTGAGGGCCTTCCCTGGTGGCGCAGTGGGTTAAAGTGCAGTCCTGCAAGTGAGCTGTAGCCACTTCAGTGCGAGTTCAATCTCCAGCCCCGGAGCTGACCCACATGGTGCAGCAGACCTCTCCTGTCTCGCCTGCTGCTCCCCTCAGCAGTGTATTTCATCTACCTATTTTGTTCCCCACTTTGTCTCTGGTGAATCATCTCACTGCCCCTGTACCTCTGGCTGTACCCTAGTTCTGTATGCATAAACAAATAAATAAATCTTTTATAAAATAAATAAAAGTGAGTGTATGTAGTTGCTCTTCTAAGCTAATGCAATCACATGCATATTTTATGACAGTGATAAAAATGAGATAATAAAAAGGTGTAGTTTCTTATTTAATTTCCTTATTTAAAAATGGAGGTGATTTTAATAAGATTATATATAAGTAAAATGCATGAAAGCAGATTTCAATAGACCTTATAAATGGTCTTTTTGATGTTTATTTTTTGTTACAGCTTTTTGAACATTACTTGGTGATGGTATTTATTATTCTTTTCCAAAGGCTCTCTCAGAGTAGCCTTTCCAAACTTCTTTAAATTTCCTTTTCTTTATAGCATTCCAATGCACAGATGCCATTCTAAACCTAGTATTTCAGAATTCCTGGGAGGAGAAGGTTCCCAAGCATGTGTAATTTTGAAAAAGCTCCCCTTGCCCTGTTTTCCTCCATTCTGTTCTGACTTATCATTCAAGACAGAGTAATGCAAAAGACATTATTGTAAAAATGAGATTAATTCTACATTATCAGAACAACTGTAACTTACATAGGTGGTGATCTTTGTACATTCCTTGTTTTAACTGAAGTAGCTCATGACTTTGTTTTCCTTCAAGCTACATACACACATTACTTAACTAGGAAGTGCCTTCCTATCTTTGTCATACATGGGTGTATAATAATGAAATAATGAGTCTTTTATGTTTATATATTTTACAATCAAAAACAAAGAAAGCATGAACTTGAAATGTATAGAAATAAAGATAAATTGTTTTGACAGAACAGATAGAAAAACAGAAATTTTAAAAGATGTTCCTTAATGGCATTTCTTCTTTTTTCTTCCTATCTCCAGGTTTCCATTATAAGCAGTAAAAGCCTAGGAATCTGCCTTGCAAATGGACTCACTGTAGCAGATACTGCTAGATGATGATACAGAAGACATTCCATGCTTACTTTTGTTCTTCCTGTGTTTGTATTCCTGGGGTTTATCCTCAAATATTTTATTGGCCATAAACAGTTTTAATTTATTTAAGATGTTTCGGTTTTTCCTGATCACTTGGGCAGTCAAGAAAATCTAGCTTCTGAAGATTGGGCCACCTCTCCATAGCATATGTTTCCAGTGATATAGCACTAAGAACTCTGCAAAATGCCATTTTCCCCCAGGTATGTAATATTGGTAGCTAGGAGCTAGGGTTTAATTAGCAATTAGAATTTTTTAGAAATCATCATTAAAGTAACACATACTTGGATACAATGCAGAATAAAAGGATAGGAGAATTAGCCTTTTTTGTGTATTAGAAGAAATGTTCAAAGAGCTTTTGCTTTTTTGTATTTTTCAGGAAAAGAAAAAAATCTATAAAGTATTAGGAGAAAAAAAAAAACACTTGGAACAGTTGAATACATGTCTATGTGATTTATAGAAATTTGCATAGCTTTTTATGCCCTCCTGGGAAAATTGGCTTAGATGTCACTCTAACACATTTTCTGCTATTGCTTACCTCAACAGCAAGGCTTGGTTAAGCCTATGAGCAGTAGGCCATATATTGGTATTTATTGGCAGAAATTTAAATCTGTGAAACTGTAACTTGGGTCTCCAGAAAGCCAACTAAAATTTTAAAATTTTGCGTTCCTTCTCTTGTTTTACATGCACCTACAGATTAAAGGGAAATGGAATTGGGAGAGGTTTCTTTGGTGATGCCACCATTCTCTCTGCCCATAGATTAAAATTTCCTTCTTGCTTACAAAACGTGGCAGTATTTCTTGGTAAACTCTCAAATAACTTGTGTATCTCACAATGATCATAATTCTACATGAAGTTAAAGTTGTTTAATATTTGTTTCTCCACAATTGTTACTGATAGTCACAGAATTTCTTTGCTTAAGACCTTTAAAGTTCTCTTCAAGTTCTCTTCAAGAACTCTTCAGTCTCTGTCTAGTTTCTGATCTAATGGAAATGCTTATTTTCCCATACTAATCAGTTCACATAAACAGCAATCAAGATATATATACATATATATACACACACACATATATTTATATATATCTACATACATACACATATATATATTTACTTTAAACTTGCTGTTATTTTTCATTGTAGGAATTTTATGTTTTTGGTATTTTAGTATGAGTTGTTTAGGGGAAAACAACTGTTTAGGTGACTAGAGAAAAACTTGTCAATCCATTCTTCTCCCACAGGGAACTACATTCTGTTTGCCTTATCTTTCTAGACAGTCTTTCAAGTCAGGCAGCATTCAGGAAACTATTTAGAATTAATTTCTTAGAGAGATTTGGGGTCTTTCATTCTGAGAAAGATCTTCAGCTTCGTAAATGTTTTGGATTTTAGGAATTTGGGTACAAAGTATTAAACAGTTAAGTTTGGGAGAATGGTAATCTGGAAAGAAACAAAACCTTAAGGGGGTATCTGGTCATTTCAGAGAAGTGAAAGAAAGTTAAAATAACAGAACTTTGAATGGCTGTGATGAAAGAACTGAAGAAAACTCTTCATTCTGAGTATGGACAGACAAATAGAGATCCTGGCCTTAAATAAAATTCCAGAGCATGGTTTCAATACTCAAAAGTTAGACCTTGCTGATTGATATAATGCTATATTTCCTTTGTCTGCCCTGTGATTTTTGTTTCATGTTTTAAAAGTTTTTTATGGTAGCTTTAAAAAAATGTTTATTTTTATTTGATAATTTGGCAAATGGGTAACTTAATTTGCCATATTTTTATTTTATAAATGTTTATTTTTCTATCTTATACAATGGTTGGTTTTACTTTGAAAATTTATTTTCCTGCCTCTCTTGTACTTCATCCAATCATATTTATTATTGTAAAATGCTTATGAGGTATTTCATTCACAGAATTTCAGATTACTTACTACATAGCCAGGATGGTAGGTTTCACCTCTCTTAGTGAGTGACCAAAGGTGATTTTTCTCTTGTGATACCCCATTCAGCATCTCTATTGAAAGGCATTCCCTTTTTTGTTTCAGGTTTTTAAAAGATTAAAATTTTAAAAGTTTTTATTTTATTTTTCGTAAAGCAAACATTTTTTAAAAGAGTAACAGAATAATACTTTTCCCTGTGAATAAGGAGACAGAATTCACACTCTACCAGTTAAGTCCTCTTCGTGTTATTCAAATAATGTAAGAATTATCTTTGAGAGTGTAGAAGCAACTAACAGTTAATTGTACAGTAAGGAAATGCCAAATGCTCTTCACTGTTGTTCTCTACTTTTAACTTTTTCATTTTTATATAACTTTGGAAGCAATGATTTTTTTCTTCTCTCAACTTAAGGACCACATGCAATTTAATGTTGTGAAAACTAATGTATCTATCCTTGGAAAATCTTTGTTTTTATACATCTGTTCTCTGTAGGCCCGAGAACACCAGTTCTCCCATTCACCCCAATATTGCTAAATGAAGCAAGGTTAGATAAGTGTCGTTAAATGTTCTTACATGTTGAAGAACATTTCAAATGCTCTTACATTTTTCAACTTACAAGTTGAAATTTGTCTCTAATGTCAAACTATTGTTAGACATAATTACTTTTTTTAGGTAACTGGACAGTTACTATACATAATTTAAAAGAACATTGAGATTTTTAGAAATTCAATTTATATACCATCAAATTACTGTTTCTTAAGTGACTCTACAACAACCAGCAATAGACTTAATGAACTACCAAAATGTATGGTGTTTAGTCATAGATACATGCAAGTCAGAGAAAAAAGAAATGGTAAGTGCTTCACCTATTAAAATGGATAAATATTTTTCAGAATGGCAGTGGCCACTTGAATCTAAATCAGCATATTCCAGAATGTGTGACCTTGGGTCATTGAACTCACTCTAGAAAATTATGAACTGGACCCAGTTTCCCTTTACTTCTCTTCCATGCAGCCTAATAACTAGGTGATGAATAAATTCATTACTGATGCTGCCTATGCCTTTTCCTTAGTGTCAGAACTTTTCAATATTAAAAAAAAAAAAAACTTTTAACTGATAATTATTTTCTTTATTACTGTAAAATCTTCTACTTTTGTCTTGTGCCAAGTTGTTCTACACCTACTATAATAATGGTGCATTCGGTTTACCACATAAGTGGTTAGACCTCGATTTTTAAAGAGTTTTGCCATTGTATAAAAATCCTTTTGAATACCATCTCATTTATTTGCTCAGTGATGATTTTCATGAAATATAACTGGTGATTTTGGTCTTAAAAAGGAACAAGATCACTGAGTATTTGGCTTTTTAGAGGACTGAGAATATAGGGTAGAAATTGCACTCAAAGACTAAAAATTCTTTGGGAAAAGACTAAAAATTCTGTAATTATTTGTGTTTGGGATGTTGATTTTTGAAGAGAACTCTATTCAAATGGATTTCAGTGTACATACTGTACCATATTGTGACAACACTGACTTTTAGAAACAACCATAAAACAGATTTCTAAAATAGTTTGTCTATTACTGCTCACAATCAGAAAAGTGATTATATAATGTAGTATCATTTTCTCCTCATAATTGGTGGTAGCTGCAAGTTTTAAAGCCATAACTGCTTATCATATTGTTGATAGAATCTTTGTTCTCCTTAGCCCACGATAGTCATAATGGGTAGGAGATTTGATTGGAGATTGATTGTCTTGGTAATGCTGCGTGGGAAACAAGGTCATCCAAATTCCTGGTGAAGAGCCTCTTTATCCATAACAATATATAAGATAATTAAAATGAAGAGTCAAGGCTATTATTGCTCCTACTATTTAATGGTTGTTAGAAATGTGGAAATTTAACTCTAGAGGAAATGAGATAAATTGGGAGAGTCTCACGTTCACAGAGTCACTTTTCTGATGAGACCTGCTGTTCATGTCAGCAATGTGAGTAACGAGCAGAATTGCCTTAAATTAGCTTGATTCCCAAGGTCAGTGTGCTTGTATGTCCTGTGTGTGAACGACTGTCAGCTCTCCATTAGAGATACAACATCCACAAGTGATCCCCAGACTTCCTTGCTATCAGAAGCTTTGGGCCTCTTCCCATTCAGCCGTGGGTGACCAATACATGCATAGATATGCTTCTCAATCTGTGAATTGAATCAGTGGCATGGCCAAAAACTGGTAGGAGGAGTAAAAATTTCCTGGCCAGGTTTTTCAAGTGATCACTTCCTAAACAAGAGTTGGCTGCCCTCCATTTCTATAATGGACTACAGAAAAGATTTTTCCAAAGGTTCTGTTGTGCAGTAAAGTCAATCACTGTTTTATAAGTATTTTACCAAGATTCTTGTGTTTTTAAATGCATAACATGAATGAAAAAAGACCAACGAAAACAGACATTTTCTTGAAATGAAAGATATGTTGATGGACAAGTGTTTATTAACTTTTAAGAGAAGCAGGAAATCTTTTATATTTCTAAGCCGTGTTTAAGGTCTTATTGGATGCCACAGACTTTTAGAGTCATCTAAGAAATCATGTTGATTTGTGAACTATCTGGTTCTTAAAAGCCATTCTCTTTTCCTTATAAATTTGTGAACATTGCCTAGAAATATGTCCCTAGTAGATTTGAAATACTTCTGTGTATTCTTCACAAACTAGAAAATATTACTTGGAGTAACTTTAAGCATAAGAAGCCAGTACTGTGCTGATTAAAGCTTACAGGTGAGGACAGAATTAATGTTTGTAACTTAGTGCCCCGTTACTCATTGCTGAGGTTCATATGTGAGGAATAGAAGTATGGACAGACAGGGTTTGAGTGACATTAACTTCACAAAAGAGCATGTATTCAGAACTGTGTAGACAGTTGAGAAAACAAATGATTACACATCATATACTTAGAACACATTTTTGTTCCCATTGAATTTCAGACCATAATTACTAAGGTAGTTTTTAGTGATTAAATTTAGGAGAGCATTTTTCTGTCAGAATTTTTGATTGAATTAACCTATCAAATCCCCTTAGGCTATAACTCAGCTCTTGCTATAAACTAAAAAGCCAAATGCCCTTTCTCAGAAATAGCTATATTTTCATCTGCCTTTTAAGGAAACTCAGTATTTATTTGATGAAGTATTGTAAATAATGAGGTGATATTATGGGAAGATAGCATATAAAAATAATTGTCCAAAGTGAGAATTCTTTGTTATGGGGATTTTTGAAGAAGAATCCATTCCAGCAAAATACAATATTTTGAAAGGTGCTGAATTACAAAGTACAAGAGTTTGCTCATATAAATCAAGTTGCTCAGGAAATTCGAGGCGGTGCTGTCACTTGTCTTACAATTTGGAAAAGTGCTCTCTTGAGAGAAATACTACACAGTGCCCTGGCAGTTTCTGATTCTTTATTAAGAACCGTTTGACATTTGGAATGTGGGTATGTTTTAAAAATAAGTGAGTTATCTCAAGTGTTCATCAATTTGTAGCCGAGCCCCAAAGGGAAAGGCAGCTTTGAAATAGCTACTTCATGGAACTGAACAGAACCTTAAGACAATACAGTTGCCTGCTAAGGACAGAAAATAAAGAGGCCACCTCAAACCACATGCCTATCTAGAGATTAAGTGAAACTGTGAGGGACACTTTGTGGGTGCCTTAACGGTGACTGGTGGGGATACTGATGGGTATGTATGCACCCGTCTGGATTAGGCTGGTGGAAACAGTCTATTCAGTTCACCCTCACACAGCACAAGTTGTTCCTTCTCATGACCTCATTGAGGAAAATGAGAAAAATGGTCCCGGTGACTTTCATGTACTTGGGAGGTCAAGGTGGTTTGTCATTTGACACATCAGTGCTCAGCCACCCTTAAATGCCAATTTTACATCTACATTAGTTCATCTATGCAAGTTTGTGTTTTTATAGTTTTTTACACCTTATATCCCATTTCATTCTTTAAACATCGGATTTGACATTGATATTATGAATAATTTTTAAACCAAAGTATTGTTTAAGTCTGTGTGCTTGTTTTCCTGGATGGTTTGAGGCAAACACCAATCTTGTCTTTCTCTCAATAAAGTCATTCATTTGTTAAGTCATTGGCTTCTGTCATCAT